TGAAAACTCTGTCATTCTCACCAGCCCCAGTGGCGCAATCGGTTAGCGCACGGTACTTATACGACAGTGTCTGTGAGCGATGCCGGGGTTGCGAGTTCGAGCCTCGCCTGGGGCAAATTTTTTCAGACCCGTTCAGACCCTACTTCGAAGAATTCACAACCTTAGACCTGACAGCTCTTTTGTACTCACCAGCCCCAGTGGCGCAATCGGTTAGCGCACGGTACTTATACGACAGTGTCTGTGAGCAATGCCGGGGTTGCGAGTTCGAGCCTCGCCTGGGGCAATTTTTTTTCAGACCCTACTTCGAAGAATTCGTAACCGTAGACCTGAAAACTCTGTCATTCTCACCAGCCCCAGTGGCGCAATCGGTTAGCGCACGGTACTTATACGACAGTGTCTGTGAGCGATGCCGGGGTTGCGAGTTCGAGCCTCGCCTGGGGCAATATTTTTCCACGTATGTTTTTTATTTTGTTGTTGAAAAGACATCAAAAACTCTGCGCCGCATTGTTTTCCTGTTTTGCTGGCGGGGCTGACGGCGCGCGGACGGTGCGTCGGCCCGTTAACGTCAACACCACCTCCCTTTTGTCCCACGCGGTCCTGCCCCGATGGCCTATAATGCTGCATAATGCCTCGATGGCGCCGTAATGGCGTTTGTCGGTGTGTGTCGGGTGCCGAGTGCGTCCGTCGTTGACATGGAACCACCCCCCATCCAGATCTGCTCAGTCAAGGAAGGTCGCGGGTGTCTAAACCTTTTGACTAGCGCCCGGTAGGCAGGCAACCCTTCGAACTTGCGACGAAAGGGATGCCTACCTTACGGCGCTCGGGCGGGAGCCATCAGGGTATGGCAATTTGCTTGCCTGTCAGGCGGTGAAGTGCTAGGGAGGGGTGGGTGGGGCTACGCCGGTGTATCTGCGCCTGCATTTACGACGTGGTGCAAACTGCACTCATACCTTGTCCCATGAAATGTTTGAGGGCCTCCCCAAACCACCCTGTCGAGACGCCAGTGTAAAGAAGATTTTAGAGTAATGTGGTTTTCGATTTCCTATTTGGGTTACTGTTTAATTGAATCAAGACTTAAGTCATGGTAAAAACATGTTTAATTGTTAAAAACAAACATTGGAGTCAATCAACAAACAAAGGAAAACAAAACAAACAAGACGAAAATGTCGTCGGTTCCCTGCAGTGTCAAGCCCAGTAAGTGAACCGGCAACTCTGGAGGTCGGGGCTGCCCCGCACCAAGCGGAGGAAGTCCTTCACCTCCCTCTTCAGGTGGGGGTGATTCTTGTTGCGCTCGAAGTACGTCGCCGTCCTGGCCGGGATGGAGTTCCAGGCGTCGGCGAGGGCCGGGTCCAGGACTCGCTCTGCATCCCGCTGGCCCGTGTTGGCGGCCCCTTCGGCGCCGGGGGCCCCGCTGCGGGCACGCGCCGACATGGAGAGCGAGACGGCTTGGCCGTGCCGCTTGAGGAACATGAGGTACAGGTAGGTCAGAAAGTAGGAGTCCCGCTTGGGACGGCGCAGCGGACGCATCATGCCGCGCTGCGGCCAGTAGTCGCCGCCGGGGCCGCCGCGCCCGGCACTGCCCGTCGCGCCGTCGGACACGTCCAGGAGGAAGTGCTCGGACGCGACGCCGCGGCCGTGGTCGCCCAGGTCCACGAGGCCGGCCTTACCGCGCCGCCCGCCCGGACCGCCCTTGCCGCCCTTGCCGCCGTCGCCACCGTCGATACTGAAGCCCCCCATGCCGCCAGCACAGCCGTCCTGACCGGCACCGCCGGCGCCGCCTCTGGCGCTGACGCGCACCTTGTTGCCGGTGAACTCCAGCCCCACGCCCATGAACATGCCGCCAGGGTGGCCGGGCTGGCCGTCGCGGCCGCGCTGCCCGATGACCGCACTCCGTGACGGTGCCTCGCCGGGGGCCTCGCCGTCCAGGCCGTCCAGGTCGATCGTCGGCGAGCCCGGGATCTCCCAGCGGGGCGCCACCACCGCCAGGGCCGCGCCGGGGAGCCTGACGCTGTCGTCAACCACCACCGTCTTGGTGGCGTACAACTCGAGGAACTGCAGGCGACCCGAGCAGTTCCGCAGCGCCGCGGCCACGGCCTCGGACAGCAGAACGGACTCGGCCTCCACGACGACGCGGCCGCCGGGGAGGCAGCGGGTGTAGCGCCTGGCCGTCCAGGGCGGCGCGCTCACCGCCGGCGACTCGTCCACAAGCGGTGTCGGGATCACGTATTCGCCGACACAGGATCTCTGCCCTGCAGGGATAGACTCCTCTAGGTGCACTCGTCCGAGAAGCAGCGCGAACACTGCAACAAATGCAATCATTTGAATTTTCCCGCCAAACACATAGCCCGCCTTCTAGCTACGCATCCTCGCGACCGATTTGACTGCCAACGTACCAAGGCTACACAATTTGACTGTATACGATGGTTGGTCCTTTGGGGTAATTATGTACTTTAGGGGCTCCACCGGTTTGGCAGTGAAAGCTATCTACAACCAAGAGGTCCCTTCCTTCCAATTACGCATTCAAACAACCAATCACAGATTGATTTTGATTCGGGCTGTATCGGTTTGTGCAGTGCTTTTTGCTTGAAGCTCTTACACTGTCGATTTGTGCCTGTATTGTTTTTTGAGTGCGGGACCCCACGCTTAAGCCACCGGAGTAAGTATTGAAAGTAATGTTGGAAGTGTCTAAGTTGTTTTTAGCCACCAAAGCGG